CAATGTCTTTTATAGAAAGGACCAATAGTTGGCATTCATTTGCCACAAGGTGATGAAAAATCACCATAAATTTCAATCAATGCATAGGTTTTTAATCCCTAATAACTTAATTAATCAAAACATCTGCAAAATAATTTACTAACTTAGACATATTAATCTTTGAAAGAGATTTTTTAGAAAACAATTTGATTTGTTGTCGTGGGAGTAATGATTAAAGAGTAGAATAGTTCTCCATCTTCTTTCCTCACCATCACTTGTGGCTTCAATAGCAAAGTAATTCTCTATCTTCTTCCCTCACTACTACTTGTGCTTCAAGAGTAGAGTAATTCTTCATCTTCTTCCTTCACCATCACTTGTGGCTTCAAGAGTGGAATAACTTTCTATCATTTTCTACCATACCTCGACTACAACTAACTTCATTTTTCCTAATAACCTCTAATTTCTCACAACTAACAAATAAATAATACTATATCATATTGAAACACCAAAAATTAAGTAAATAAAATTTTGGTGCATTAATTTGGGCTCACAAGTTGCTTACTTTGAAAGAGGCCATTTGGCTTAGAGCTTCATTTTCTGATAAGAAAGTCTCAACTAGATATATACATAGTAGCAACAAGGTAAGAGCTAATAAAGGAAGATTTTATACTTAGATAGTCTTCTAAATTCAACATCTATTGGTTGACTTGAGCTACTCCAAATGTGGCCAAGTTATTTGGATTTGACTAAGCAATATGTCAAGTAGGAACATCACAATACTCAATTTATAGGCCTCTTTCTTCTCCTTAGAATGTATTGTGATGAGGGAGGAATTTATTTCTATCTTTTTTTGAAATTATTAGTGGATTATGAATAGAAATTATAACTTTATAGTAGAAATTGTAAACTTTGTACTACAAAGGTGCAACAAATCTTCCTTGTATACGTAGTTGATATCAAAAAGAAAAAAACTTATCTTTGCTGAGTTTATTAAGGCCTTATAAATTAGAGATAGATTTCTTCTATCCAATCAAAATAAGTACTTATGGAATAATCACTGCTAAGATGCCATCTATGCTCTTACTTGATTGAACAAAATCTATGTTTTCAAGCTAATAGGATGTGAAAAAAATCTGGTGAAAGAATATATCATACAAGGGGACTCTAATTAAGCAGATCACCTCCCGATGAGCTGGTTGTTGTAGTTGCTTACTTAATAAAAACGTAGCTCCTCATTTAAGATGAATGTATTATTTCTAATAGATAATAAAGTAGATAATAAAGTATTTCTAATAGATAATAAATAAAGTCAATATAATTTGGAATTCAAATCATAGACTAGAATTTTTTTGTAAGCTTCAAAAAACCATAAAGTACTATTACAGTTACTACATCTAAAAAGCACAAAATTTTTGCCACAAGAAAATTTCTTGGCATTCTTATTTAATTCACATCTTAATCAACATTTATTTGATACTATTAAATTCGATTTTTTTAAGCAAGGCTAAGGATTGCATCAGATTGCTTCTAAGGTCTCAAATACAACAAAGCAGAGGTACAAAGATTCAACAATAGAATAAAGTGTAAATAATTGAGAGATGCTAGCACAAAAGAATTCTTTAGACCTCCAAAGAAATGATCAAGGGCCTCTATAATTACTTTGCTAGTAAATGAAGTGAGATTAATTTACTTAAATCAAGCAATTTTAGAAGCCATTTATATTAAATTCTACGTTGGGATGTATACTGAGGCTTTCGTAGGGAGGTCAATTGCAATTCTCCCTGTTATCATTATAAATTATGTTTTTGGCTGTGTATTGGAAACTATAAAAATTATTCTTAAAATTTTAATTTAAATGAAGGAGATTGATTGTGTCTTGCATGACATGCGCTTGAAAAAAACTTAAGTTCAAATGGTGTAGTAATATAGTACTATTAGACTTTTTAAGATACCATCAAAGAATATTATTTCAGCATGATTATTGAGGCCATTTAATAACAACAAATTCCTCTTAGTGTGACTTTTGGCTTTATATATCTATTATCTAAGAATAACACAAGGTCAAAGTTACCTAATTAGAGATCTATTATTTTACTAAATATAGCTTATAAGCTATTTATAAAGATTTTTCAAATGCACCTTCAATTAATCTTGATAGAGATAATTTCTTTTGACCAATCATCCTTTCTATCTATCACATATATCTTATACAACATTCTTGTCATAGATGAAATAATGGAATGTGCTGATTACTCAAAGTAATCTTTTTTTTTCAAATTGGATTTTTCTAAAGTGTATGACATTGTGAATTGGAGCTTTCTTTTATAAGCAATGCTGAAATCTGGCCTATTAAGTGAATTTGTATCTATGACAAAATTATTTTTTACAAATGTCTCTACAAGAGTTAAAGTTAATGGATTACAATCTTTTTCTTTTAATATTGAAAGAGGGGTGAAACAAGGATGTCCTCTAATTCTATACCTTTTCTTCATTGTAGTAGAAGTTCTAAATTATATGATGAAAGAAGGCATTGACTTTGGAAGGATAAGAGAGATGATTCTTCTAATTGAAGAAATACAATAAGTTATAGTCTAATTTTTTTAATGATATATCTTTTATCTTGAAAGGAGAAAACCAAACCCTAGACAAATCCTAAATCCAAAATACTAAACCAAACCCTAAAAATAATTTTTTAAAATACTAAACTCTTTTTGCATGAGTTATGACTTAGTATTCAATTGGCACAAGTCTTGTGGTTATTGATATGATGTGGAGTCTAAGTCATATTGGACAAACTTCCTAGGATTATCCTAGGTTGATGATGATACAGTGAATAAGTTCTTAGGAGTATCCTAGGTTGACAATGATAGAATAAGTAAGCTCTTAGGAATATCTTAGGTTAATGATGAAAGAGTGAGTAAGCTCTTAAGCACTCCCTTTAAACTCAACATGTCATCTTTTGCTATGGATGAATTTTTCAAGTCTAGAATTGAAAAGAAGCTGAAGCATTGGAATACAATCAAAGTAAACTTTACTAGATAGATAATTATTATCAACAAGATCCTTCTTACTTCCATTTTCTTCTTTATAGCTATTTGAAGTAGTACCAAAGTAGGAATAGCTAAAACATGTTTATAAGTTCAAAACTATATGTGATTGGTTATTATTCACCAGGCAAGATTAAAGATATCATGGCTCTAATGCTGTCAGTTTAATGAGCATGGAGGCATAGATATGATTAATCCAATTAATACTTTGGTCTCTTTTATTGTTAAATGGATCGTGAAAGCATATGAATCAAGAATGTCAAATCTTCACATAATGGTGTGATGTAGGCTTAGCAACTTCCATCTTATCACACTGCCAAGCTAAGTCTGGCCCCATGGGGGCTCTATGTGGTGCGACCTGGTGAAAAATCTTTAACTAGTACAATCAAGGGTGGCAGAAGAAGTGGTGTCCAAATATTTTTGGTGGTCCTCATTGTTTTCTACAATAGGAGTTGGGTTTTTGAAGCTCCAGACCTCCCACCTCCACAAGACTAGCCTCCATTGCATTCAATACACAAAGAACATGTCGCTTTCTCTCTATACAAGAAGCAATGGACAAGGTTCTTATGAGACCTAGTGTAGGATTTGTCTATGATCCACCTTACTGTCTCACTTGTTGCTGAATGCTTCCTCTCTTATGATTTTGGGTAAGGCTCAGTTATAGCTCTAGCAGTAGTAATCTTGTTTTGTTAGTCCTAATGATGTTGTAGAAAGTCAGTCCAGTTTCCACTCAGGCTGCTTGCAGCTAAGCTGGGTGTATTTTTATCATTTCTAAGGCAATGGGGTATCCCCTGTTTGTTTTAAAAAAATAAAAACTAAATGAAAACTAAACACTGCCATGTGCTTGCAGCTCAAAATCTCAGGTTCTCTCAGCATGAGGACAAAGAGGACAAGGATAGTAAGTGTGTGAGGTCTGTTGTGGAATCCTCTCTTCCAACACTTGCAGAGGGAATTGATGGAGGAGATTTTTTGTCTCCATTTCCCAAAAAGCCAAGCCTCCACCATCACCTCACACCCACTGCCACTCCCTGTTTCTCATTGTGATCCTAGAAAAGCCCCAAGAGATACCACAGAACATGGGCTCAATATGTCTCATCCTGTTCACTACATGGGCTCTGCCTCTGCTCAATGAGTGAGGAAATTCAGCAGATTGTAATTCATTCTTGAAATAAGTTAAACTGAAGCATTACCCATCATTTAATATTCAAAAATCATTGCAACTAAAAGCTTTAGGTTAATTATATATATGTGTGGGAAAATATCCAAGCCCACAACCACAATTCTCACAGATGTGTATATAATTAGATAATGGATGGGTGATCATTGTTGATAATGTTGGTTGAAGGTGGGGGCATTTGCATGCTGCATTGGCTTGTTTAATAATTGACTGAGACGTAAAAAGGAATATTTGAACTTGGTTGGCTCAGAACTGGGCAACCAAGCTATGCAACACAACTCATACATAGCATATACCTCTTCTGCTGTAGCTGAAATGGGTGGAGCATGCAGAGTCAGTGCAGCTACAAGAAGCATACAGAAGAATATGCTGAATCAAGAATATCATGCAAAAGTTTTGCAAAAGAAAAAAAATATCATGCTGTACAGACTCAACCAGGGTAAATAGTTTCCATTCAATGAGGTAAAATTAACGCCGTTTCGTCACGTGGTTAGAAATGCCGGTTACTATCATAACCGACTCAGACGCCAATTGGGACGCATCCTCAGGACTCAGGCGGGGATGAATCATCTTTGAAAGCAACCTCCCCCTCACCCCCCGCCCCCACCCCGCCCGGCTTAAGAAGTTTAACCCTGGGACCGACCACTAGTGCCAAAGCATAGATGGAGAATCGATTTCGACAGCGGCAACCACGATTTTGCGTCGTCCGGAGAACAGAGTCTTGGTCAGCTTTTTCAAGCTTTTTTCTCGCTGTATTCCACCTGTCTGATTCCCCTGTTGTGTGCTGCATGTGTCGAGTGCTCTTCCTCAGCGGTCACGCCGCTATTGCTGCGCTTGAGGCCGACTTCGTAGCTTTTCGATTGTCGCCGCTTCTGTGGCGCGTTCGGTTTGGGAAGGTCTGAACAGCCTGGTGCGGCTGATGGTCTGCGGTCCAATAGGAATAGGATTTGGCAGTATCGTCCTTGAAAGAGGCAAAGCAGATTAGCGGTTGCGATCTTGAGATCAAATGCAGTGGACTTTCGACTAGACTCGCGTGTTGTGGTCACATGCTTACTGAGAGGAATATAATTAGAACAGTACGTTGTTGTTGTGTTTGATCGAGGACTGCATCGTGAGTTGTGGATGCGGAAGGGCGATTTCGCTAGCTCGAGAAGTGACGTGAATTTCGACTGTCAGCGTATGATCTTGTGAATAACAATTACGTCGTTGGAGTTTCTGGTTGACATCGCGAGTATCATGTACTTGACGTTCAGGCTTATCGCGTTCGATTGCTTGGGAACTATTTCGTGATTCCCGCGGGCTGATTGCCTTGTCTACCTCGCCTGGAATGTGTTAGGAAAGGTTTCGCGATAGACCTCTTTCTTCTACGGAGTCTCGTTTAACTAGTACTGCTTGCTTTGGTTTACGTGGCTGCAATTTCCGTCTGTTTATTTAATATTCAATTCTTCCAGGGAAGGTTCTTTTTATAATTGGCCTGCAAAAGCTTCTATGAATGTGTGGGATGACAGCATTCGGCATACGTAGAACATATTGTAAAGATCAAAATATAGAGGTAGGATTTGCGAGGTAGTTAACCAACTCCATTCTGATAGCATTTTAAACAGTCCAAACTTCTTTGAGGTCATAGGAGGCTGCATTCTTTTTCATACAAGTAGCGACTATGGTGTTGATCACGGTTCCTTTTTGTAGGGTGAAGTAAGCGAATTGAGCACAACACCAAAAAGCATAACCTAGGATTTTAATTATTTTCAATTTTCATGGAGTCCATTTCTGGATTGGCTTTTGAGCTCATTATAGTATATTCTTCCTTAATTATATTCCTAAATTATATTCTTTCTTTGGCACAGCGAATAAACATGGCTGTACATTCTCACCCGTATCAACGATGAATCACCATCTTACACCTCAGTCTTATTAAACAGGTTCGTGGCTCGGGAGGGACCTTCACGAATCAAGTCGTGAAAGAGTAATCCAGGTGAAGGCTGTTCAGCTCACGCCGCTGGAACAATGGATCCTACCTCAATGACGCCGGTTTGGATGCCAATAGTTGAGAAGTCAGTCTTTCGCTTCGACGAGTCAGAAAGTGCTAGAAAGGAAGCTGCACCGACCGTTTCTTTTGCGAACCCCAGGTTGCGAGAGGAGGAGATTGAGATAAAATTCCCTGAGAGTAACAAACCCGATTTCATCCCTGAATTTAAATTCGACGGCGCACAACAAATTGTGACGCTTAAGGTGAGTACTTCACTGAGTACGACATGACTACCTCGGGTTGTACTTGCTGGTTTTCTAATGTTCGTAATTTCAAAGGATTTTCATTATCGGATATTGCATCGTCCGAAACATTGCACTTTCTGATATTCTACTTCGAAGAATAAATTTATTCACATGCTGCTGGATTTGTTTCACGTATTTGGTAATACTTGCTGTTAATCAAGAATCGTTCAATATGTCAGATGTTCAGATGTCAATGTCATATGTCTGATACTTTCCTGCAGCTTCCAGAAGGTACATCCTTTTATGGCACTGGTGAAGTTGGTGGATCTGTTGAGCGTACCGGAAAGAGGGTGAGGTATTTGTGTTTTGCAATATGAATTTTAATTAGATATTTTAAGTATTTATTTCTTTTGCATCTCTATTGGTCGTGTCAAGGATCTCAAGTTGTACCTTTTTGTGTATCAGGTTAACATATATCTGCTGGTTATTCTGTACAGATCTACACTTGGAATACAGATGCGTGGGGATACAATCAGAATACTACCTCCTTATACCAGTCTCATCCATGGCTTTTCGCAGTGCTTCCAAGTGGTCAGGCCGTTGGAGTGCTGACTGACACCACGAGGCGTTGTGAAGTGAGTTTTTGAGATTCTCCTCGTTGGGGGCGCTCGTTCATATTTTACTTTCCAGCTAAGCGAGTAACTAGACCTACTGATACACCGTTCAAGCTCTGGTCATTTACTAGTCATTTGCAGTCGTGGTAATGTACTTGAACTTTATTCTTGCAGATTGATCTGAGGAAAGAGGCATACATCAGAATTATAGCTGCAGCTCCATACCCAGTCATCACATTTGGACCATTTCCCACGCCAGATGCGCTCATGACATCACTTTCTCGTGCCATTGGTATGCTGCTTTATCATCATCTGAAGTTCCAGAATGGATTATCAGTTTAGAGTCGTCTATTAAGGTCCTGATGGTGTTATGTATTCTGATTATTTGTATGGCAGGTACAATGCAAATGCCTCCAAAGTGGGCACTTGGTTACCAACAATGTAGATGGAGTTATGAAACTGCTGATAGGGTTTTGGAGGTATTTTTCCCAGATTACTCGTATATATATATATATATATCATTGATGCCCCTTGCTTTGCTTTGAGAGTAATATGTTCAAGAAATGAGAACTTAAATGGAGAAGGCGGAAATTAATTTTTACCGGGATTTGATCTTTAAAACAATCACGGAAATTAAATAAAACTCATCATTGTCTTGCAAAGTGGACAACATATAATGTATTGTAAGGCTTTGATGTTAAGTCTTTTTCTAAATTTCTGATTTGATGTTGAGACACTCAAATGAGGCACCAATTTATTAACATTTTTGGATGAACTCATTTATTATTTGTCAATCAAGAGTTCTTCTTCTTCTTCTTCTTCTTCTTCTTCTTCTTCTTTCTATGTTGACTTAGTCTAATATATTTTGATCAGGTTGCTACAACATTCCGAGAAAAAAAGATTCCATGCGATGTGGTCTGGATGGATATTGACTACATGGAAGACTTCAAGTGCTTTACCTTTAAAAAGGTATGTCATTGCATTCATTAAACTTCAAGGGAAGACTTGAACAGCAGGGTGTATACTAGTCTAAAGATGTTAAAAGGAAATTGTTTGAGTCTCATAGTATTTTGAGATTTTGCTCGACTTACAGGAAGCTTTCCCAGATCCCAAGGGAATGTTAGATGAATTGAATGGAAAGGGATTCAAGGGCATTTGGATGCTTGATCCCGGGATCAAGGCTGAAGAGGGTTACGGCGCCTATGATTCCGGTTGTGAGGAAGATGTGTGGGTGCTTAGTGCTAATGGAAAACCTTATGTTGGTAAGCATTTTCGTCAATTTTGGTTTGATTACACCTATTTACTTGTGGCGCTTTTTAATGATTCAGGATAAAGTATGCCTTCTATAACAAGGATCAACCTTATTTGTTTTTAATTTTTTTAGTGTATCCTTTTAACTTTGTCTTACTTGTTCATGCTAGCCAATGTAAGTGTTGTACTATGTTTTTTTTCTCATTCATGTTCCATGCTTTGACCTTTGCCTCATTTTTAGGTGAATGCTGGCCCGGATCAGTTGTATTTCCTGATTTCCTCAACAAGAAGACACGCAAATGGTGGGCAAATCTTGTGAAGGATTTTGCAGACGTAGGTGTGGATGGTATTTGGAATGATATGAATGAACCAGCCGTTTTTAAGGTTGGAATCTACTTTTGGCTTGAATGCTTTCAGATTTTCAAGAATAAATTGGAACACTTATGACTTATAATTTAGCCATTTTATGCTTGTTCTAATTGTGTCTAGTAGGTGTTAATTTTTTTTTTTTTTTTTTTTTTTTTTTTTTTTTTTTTTTTATGGTTGTGATATGAATATCAAATTAACTTCTTTTGGGCGAGCTAAGATTGCATTGTGAAAATCTTTTTTAGTATGAACATTTTTAATGCACAGCTGAACCAGCAATTTAGTAAGGATCTTTTCATGTGCAGACTGTGACTAAAACTATGCCCGAGACAAACATTCACAGAGGCGATGAGGAAATTGGGGGCACTCAAAGTCATGCGCATTATCATAATGTAATCATCTCATCCTTTTGGATATATCGAGAGGGATTCTCCAATTTAAACTTCTTAGGGATGTTACTAAATTTTGTTGATGCTATTTTATTAATAAATATTTGAATCTTTTTACTTTGATTACTGTTGAGGTGACGAAAGAAGTTGCTTAATCATGTACTAGTCATCTAAGTATTTTCTGATGCAGGTCTATGGTATGTTTCAAGCAAGGTCAACATATGAGGGTATGCTACTTGCATGTAAAAACAAGCGGCCATTTGTATTGACTAGGGCAGCTTTCATCGGTGCTCATAGATATGCAGCAACTTGGACTGGTGATAACCTTTCAAACTGGGAGCATCTTAGCATGAGTATCCCAATGGCAATTAATTTGGTATGCTTCAAATACCTCCTTAGTTATGCAAGCATTTGGTGGATAGTGCTATTATGCTAAGTGCTTCACCAGGTGGATATTTTTTAACTACTAGAGATATTGAATTTTTGGTTGGTGTGGCGTATGTTAATGATTTTTTCTTGCTTACACATGATTACTGATTCTTACAATTTTGTGCAGGGTTTGAGTGGCCAATCTTTCTGTGGTCCGGATATTGGTGGATTTGGTGGAGATTCTACACCTAAGTTGTTCTCTCGGTGGATTGGACTTGGTGCTATGTTTCCATTTGCGAGGGGTCATTCTGAACAAGGAACCATTGACCATGAACCTTGGTCCTTTGGTCCTGAGGTATATTTTATTTGGAATTGGTTTGGTTACAAACATTCATCCAAGCAATGAAATAATAAAATTTGTTGCTATCATGATACATTTTTTTTTTTTTTTTTTTTTTTTTTTTCATGTCTTTGGGATTCAATTAAGAACTTATAATGCGATTATTGTTGAACGTATCCGGTGGTATTTGTTACTTTGTAGGTGGAAGAGCTTTCCAGGTTAGCTTTGAACAGGCGATACCGGTTGTTGCCACATTTATACACTCTCTTTTACAAGGCGCATACCACGGGTGTGCCTGTAATGACACCCGTATTCTTTTCTGGTATGTCAATGAGGTACTCATTTTTTTTGCTATTGTGTGGTTATTTTTGGTTTTGGCTTTTTGTGACATAAGTGGTACTTTAGTGTGGTCCATGAATTAATGCCTGTAGTTTTCCAGATGCTTTAGTTTCAAAGTTTGTTAAGCATTGTGCATAACTGGGCTGGTTTTGCATAATCTAATTTATATTTTTTGTTGAATAGATCCTACAAATGCTGAACTTCGAGAAATAGATGACAGTTTTTTGTTGGGATCGATTCTTGTCAAAACTTGGTAAGGGAAAGACATTCTGCATGTTAATTTTATTTTCCACGACCTATGTTCTTTCAACTTGTTTATTTACATGTTTTGAGCATGACAAAAAGTGTTGTAAGTATGTGAATGTTTGGACACTGTCTTGAGGTTATACATGGTTCCTTGTAGGTCTTCTCCAAAGAAACGAGATTCTAATGCCGCGGAGCCTCTATCAAAGGGAGTATGGCAGCTCTTCCATTTTGATGATGATCATCCGGTACATTCCTTTGTTCCGCATAAGAACATGAATCTTTTTGCTCTTACTTGGACTTTGGAACTCTGTTTATGAATGGGTTGTGGGCATAGTTAGCACTGACGGCCAATCGTGCGTTTTCTTAACTTCTCAGGAATTGCCAGTGCTCTTTTTGAGGGGTGGTTCTATCGTCCCAACTGGACCCGTTGTCCAACATGTTGGAGAGACCAAACCCACAGACACAGTCACACTTTTAATTGCCCTTGATGACAAAGGTAAAGTACCATATCTTTTTAGCATTTGATAGCAATATTTTGCATGCATGCATGCCTTTGAATGGCTTATGAATTCTATTGCTTTTGGTATTCTTTTACATGCTTTGTTTCTTCTCCCTTTAGGTAAAGCCTCAGGGGAATTGTATGAAGATGATGGTGATGGTTTCGCTTACCAAAATGGCGATTACCTTATCACTCATTATGAAGCTGAGAAAGTGTCAAATACAAATGCCAATAATGGAGAAGTTTTGATCCGTGTTGCTTCTACGGAAGGTTATCGTGAAAGGCCAAAACGCACTCTTAAAGTGCGTGTTTTGGTTGGTGAAAATGTTCAGGTATTAGAGAGGTTACTTTTAGTTTGAAAAAAATGACAGTAATTGAAATTGCGATTTTGTGCTTCCGTTGTGGGATTGAATATTTGTGTTATGGTAACATTTGGTAAACAATCTTGTAGGTGGAGGGCGAGTGCATTGACGGAGGCGAGCTTAGAATTCAATTGCCGACAACAGAGGATCTTAGCAAATTAATTATGTTGAATCGGGGCAATTTAGGCTCCAATCTAGGTTGGTTTTTCACTTCCCAGTCATTTGATTATTTTCTCTCGTAACATGCATTGTTAATTGAGATGATCTTTAGCATGTGGTTTGTATGACTACTAAATTTGTGTTTGAATCTTACACCCCAGAGAAGAAGCAAAGTTTGTTGGACAAGGTTTTTAATGAGCATCCCACTATTAAGGGAATGGGAGCTGTTCTCATGCCTGAAGACCTTGAGAAAGGAGCTGTGTTTGTAAAGGTGGTGCCTTGGATTGGGGGTCGTATCATGTCAATGGTCCACAAACCATCAGGGTATGAATGGATGGAAGGCAGACTTGAGTATGGTGGTTATCAGGAGTTTAGTGGCACTGAATTGAAGTCTTCTGGCTGGAATGAAGAATACAAAGTTGTAAAGTAAGTTTTATTATGAGCTTGTCACAATTCTTTATTATACTGCATATAATTTCCAACATCATAATTCTTTGATATCTTACTTTTAATATGCTTAGAAATACTAAACGTGCAACATAGGAGAATGTTGGTTTGATGTGAAATGCTGATGAGCAATTCATTTTGCAAATAACTTGTTTTTGTTTAGGCGGCACCTTGCTCAAATGGAAGGGCACGAGGTGGTGGGATTGGAAGGGGATGTTGGCGGAGGATTAGTACTTGCCCGAGAAGTTCTCTTGCCTCATAATTCTTTAAAGACTATCAAAATTAGTTCCAGTATAGTGGCACGCTCAGTGGGTGCTGGTTCTGGTGGTTTTTCGAGACTTGTGTGTTTGCGAATACATCCAACGTTCAAGATTGTACATCCAATGAATTCTTTCATTATATTTATTGCTATTGATGGAAAAGAACATGAATTAAAACCAAGCATGGCTTTTGGGGAGTTCTCAATCAAAGGTTCCAACAGGCCTAATGGTAAAGTGATATCAAATCACAACCTTTTGCTAATCTGTTTAATAGTGTAAAGGAGTGTCTTTCTTATAATTTTTTAATTATGCAGTAGATTAAATTGTTTCCCTCAACTCTAGATTGATACAAATTTTACTATGTGTTATTCATGGAATTTGTATTGAACTTTTGCAGGGAAATGGACTCTTCTTGATTTTGAAACTGGCCTGGGAGTGGTCAACAGATTTGATGTCAATGAAGTGGAAAGGTGTCACGTCAATTGGGGCCCTGGATCTGTGACACTTGAGCTTTGGTCAAAAGAACGGCCCGTGTCAAAAGATACTCCTTTGTCTATTTCACATGAGTATGATCTAATTGACACTCATAACTAGTTTGTTTCAAAATGTGAAGAGTGGTATATTAGGCCAGAAAGAAACAAAATCTTGACTGGGCTTTTGCCAAATGATCTTCATGCCTTGCCCAAAAGCTGAAGTTGCTAGTTTGTTGGCAATTAGGCAGGGTTGTGGCAGCAGGATACATATTTTATTGATAAATATATCATAAAATTTAAATTAGATATATAAAACTGATTTTAGATATATTTCATATTACATTATTATATTATATTATGTATTAATGAAATTATTTTAATACCATTTTTTATAAAAGTTTATATGAATATTTTTATAAATATTCAAATATACAATTGTTATAGATTTGAATATGTTTTAATTCTATTTGTAATCAATGTATTGTTCTTTCAAATTTGTTTATGTATCAAATTATAATTCTTGATTAGTTGCAGCATAAGACATTACTCAATTTTACACATATAGAATATACATATATATATAAATATATATATAGATGTGTAGATTCTGAAAGCTGCAACTTATGAAGTAATTCAGCTCATGATGGAGCAGATTATTGGTGTGGAGATTGTTGGATGTATGGTCAATGTGTTTTGTTTTGTTTTGTTTTGTTTTGTGTTTTTTTTTTAAATCACAATAAGCCTCAAATCAGAAAATAAAATAAAAGTTAAACAATAAATTTAGTGAAATATATATGTATATATATATATATATATATATATTAAGAGCCGACTATCGGTTAATAAACAGTATACTTGATCTAAAAATTGATTGTGTTGTGTTCTTATGATGTATATGATGTATGTATTTTTAAAATAAGTGACTAGTGAATTAAGTGGATTGTTTTTTTTGTTATGTTTGAGTTCAATAATAAATGTAGAGAGATTCTTACATTATGCTTTTGTTTTACAAACCAATGGTATTGTGGTTTTGTAAAAGTAAATTAAATTTATTAGCATGCAATGAATATACATATATGCACACGTACTGTAGATCATATTTTTTATTTTTTTTTATTATTCCGATTACAAATAATGTTTTGTTTAACATTTGATGTGCCATGCACGCATTGTAGTGCCCATCCAGCATAGTAAAGTATATTGTTCATAAAAAATCCTACATCTATTGCCAAAAACAACTCATTGTTTCATTGTTTATAGTTTCCATGTGTCATGTCATTATGTATTATATATTTTTAATTTAATTATTTTGATCTTCAAATTAAAATTTAACTACTTACACAAAAATACTATTACAAAAAAATATTATTAGACTACTTATTTTTAAATTGTAGTTGTAAAAGTCACGAATCAAGAATTCTGTACACGTCACACATATCAAATTTTAAAGATTTCTGAAATCATAACACCATACTGCAAAACATCTTGCATATAGCAAAAAATAACCATATTTCAAGCTGACATTTTACATGTCATCAAGATCAACTTAAAGAGCATCTTTTCAATCATTGATTTTTTTTGTTCTATATTAAAGTAATCCAAATACGTGATTTAGATGTTTATAAAGCCCTTCTATTGAATTTAATAACAATATATAAAATTTTAATTAAACCTCCAAAATAATAGCAATTAAAATTTTAATTTCTACTGAAATTTCAATTTATATTCAATGGTGATTTTAGTACAACAATTTGAATATTGATTTTTTAGATTTTTTAGATTTTTTTATCAAAATAATCTACATCCAAATTTATTTAATGGGAGTTCGAAATATGCAATCAAGCATGAAATTATTGAGTATTATTTATTTATTTATTTTCAGGTAAGCTATGAAAAACATTAATTGAACTTGTGATTGAAGGAAGTTGTGCAAGGTTGGTGTCCTAAGCAAATGCAATCACTATCAATCAACAACAAGCCATTGTCTCATGGAATTGAGTAGTTTAGGTGAATAATGAGCTTGTGTATTGTAGTCTGTTCCTCTTATCCAGGATCCTGCAATTGCAGCTTGAGGACTGGTGTTGTAGTCTCACATTGAGCTTCCAATTGTAACTATGTGGGCCACAACTCTTAAGAGGGAAACAAAATTTTGGATTGTAGGACAAATACATAAAACTGGCCAAAGGAAACAAAAGTCATGTTACAACAAAGTCTTGCCACCATCAAATCCTGTATCTAGAATAATAATAATAATAATAAATTAATAAAGTAAATAAAAATCCAACGTTTGTTGCGCGATTAATATTCAAAGTGATTCTTGAAATCACGGATCAACGGAAGTAAAATCGTTGGAAGAAGCAAATGTGCGAACAAGGTGTGCGATACAAGACACCAACAATGCATATGCAGAAGTGGGAGATCAAGAGCACCAGCAACAAGGAAGCGATAAATGTGAGGCAACACACCCACCAATAGGGAATCTCACAGAGACATACGTTAAACCTAACAACATTATATGGTAGAAAAAAAATAGGATGGAGCAGAGTAGAGAGGGGTGTCTTAGTAAACTTGAATATCACAGCCAAAAATAGAACACCGAGCTTGGGTTTTTATAACTTTATATCAACCAAACCAAATCTTGGGATTTGTAGCCTAATGAGAGGCAGCTTGATAGGAAGGGGTAGCCGGATGGGGGTGGCTTGATAGGGAGCAACTTTGGCAAGCCAGTGTTTGGAGTTCATGCATTGCAGGAATCCCAAAGCTAAGTCTAGGTCTTGTTTCTCCGAAGCGATTTTAGTTTTAGTGTCCAACAATGTCGTATGCTTCAAGAATCCTCAAACTCAACAGTTATTTTTATCGAGTATTTTATGTATACTGATGTTCTCAAACAACAAACGCTACGCATCTTTCAAAGCCTCATTCAATTCTCTTAATTGTAGAATAAATAGCATGATAAGGTCTTCTGGCCAGTTTTGTGTAACTGTTGAAATGCTGGTTGATATGAAGTTGTAACTGTTGAAATGCAGGTTGTCTGCCTGATCACCAGAATGCTAAACAAAAAAAACTCCATTTTCGTCTTCCAACACGTTTGACGATGAGGAAAAATGTTGACAATGGTATCTTCAGAAAGACACAGGAACATTCTGAGGTATCAACTCCTCCATGGTTTAGTTGGATGCATATGTTGAAGCTTGCACTTCAAGCTTCTGCAGTAAACTTCTACTGAAAATAATCGAAACGAAATATAGATATAACTGTTTACATGCGCGCCACTTGTGCACTCGGACGCTCAGAGCGTATTATGGCGATTCATATATACTAGTGCTCGTCCCGTTTCCGCAGCGCCAGGGTTTCGATCCATCAAGTTTGTATCTACAAGTGATCCAAGGAGCTAGTGATGGAGGCTGTTGTGTTTCAGTGGGAGAGGATTGAGGCTCACATGGATGAGCATTTCTCTAATATAACGCCGTCGCAATCGTCTTTCAACACGGAACAAGATGACGCTCTCCCACGGCCGTCCCCACCGTTTCTCAACCCCGGAGCAACTGAAGATGAAATATTGGTTGCAGAAACGGCCCTAGGGTTCCGATTCCCGGAGGATTTCCGAGCATCGCTGAAACGACATAACGGACAGGCGAACAATCATACCTTAATAGGGATGGGTCCGCTGCTGTCCACAGAAGACATCGTAAGTCAGTGGACGATCTGGAAGGAGTTGCTTGATGATGACACCTTTGATGATGTACACTCCGACCCCGATCCCGGCGTCAAAGCAGTCTGGTGGAACCTGCGATGGATTCCGATCACATACGATGGCGCAGGGGACCACGATTGCATCGACATGGATCCTGCAGAGGGAGGGACGGTCGGCCAGATCATAGAGATGTGGCATGACGACTCTGGCCGTCCCCTCCGATCTCCAAGCTTCCTCGCATGGCTTACCGCTTGTGCTTCCGACCTCGAAGACGGCGTTCTGATCTGGGACAACGACTGTGGATTCGTCCAGAAAGAAGTTGACACCCAGACGTCATTACCTCAAAAACCACAAGGTTTACAGACGATATGAATTGGAGTCATCATCCAGCTGCAAGCACACTCAAGAACGCATTGCTAGCATGCTTGACATTTAGTTGCTAGCGTATTTACAGATTGCTGTTTTAATTCTGTGGTAGACTAGAACGTAAATCGTTCTAATTGTACCTATTAAGCAAGTTGAATCTTATATTCGCCCTCCAAAAACATGTTGTATACTGTTACGCCTATGGTGCTTAGGTCATCCTAGTTACTGCTCGTAAAGATTGCCGAACAATATGCGCAGGTGAAGCATACTCAGTGTACAAAACAGCGGCGATTCAGTCTTCAGGTTCGCAATTATCCTATAACTGGATAGCGAGAGTGTTAATCACAGGGTGAACAGCTTCGGTTCAGATGCTTAGATGTTTCATAGCTGACCCAGTACAAAGAGTGGTTTAAGGCGGACTGATTTTCCAAAATAAATCAACCAGGTGATAATATCAGCAATAACTTCACGTGCACTGCGATATTCGGCAGACATGTTTAGAATTTTAATCACCAACCAAACAGACGGCCTCCCCTGAGCATCGGAAATAAACCAGCTGATTACTAACACTTCTGCAGCCCACATTTGAAGAGCTAGATGATGATGGTCAATCTGCACCTCACGTATGAAGTTCCCCTTCACCTATATGTTACAAAAAAAGTTGTGAAGCAACTGCCTTACATGTGATAATTATCACACGAGATAAGCCTGAGTAGTACACAAATACCTGCTCTGTATATAGACAATTCACTACACTAAAAGGACACAACCCAGTTCACACAAGAGCAATCCACATCTTCATCCCTTGCTACTAAAATTATGAACAGAGTACAGGGAGCTGACTGCACCCAACCAATCTCGCTAAAACAATGCTCAATCTCAAGCAATTCCCTAAACCTGTAATCCAAACGATGATGAATCGACGTTGACACAAGGTCTCCTTCGGATGACAAAAGCACGTTGCAGGACGGATATCACATGCTAGATCCTGTCAGTACGACTCTAAGAATCCGGTCAATGACTTCATGCCAAGATCGATGAGACTTGCACACTACGGCCATTGCAATGAAAGTTTATTTCGACATTGATGTTTCCTCAAGCTCCTCCACGACATGTTTTAATCCTGGGACTCTGATTGCTAGTGTCTTGTATAACCTGGTATATCGTGCTCTGGTGCCATCTGCAGTCCTGGCCATAGCCAACTGAAGAAATGACTCCGGGAGGTGCGATATAGTTTGCCGTATGGTCTCTACTGACAACCCATCCAGAACGGAGGGCACCGGAACAACAGCGACGATTTCCTTCCCATTCTTTTCTTGCATTTTCGCCTGCGCTTTGACGACAAGTTCTAGGTTTGATGTTGCGCCACACTTGATCACGAATGGGGTTGCAGATCCATTATTGAATTGCAAAACACTCCATTGAACAACTTCGCTCTCAACTCCGTTGTTCATTGCCTCGTCCCACTGACCAATATTACCGGAAGCATCAAGCTCATCCATCGTGCGAGATCTCGAATGCCGACCACCAGAGACCACTTGCTGCTCTTCCAGTGACTACACACCAAAAGAGAAACAAGTCGAGCGTGTTGCTCGTGAGAAGTAGCGAGACAAGGAGATAAAAATTCTGCTCTATTCTACCGTGCCGCTCCCTTGTGCCATATCCTAACGTCTGCGGCTACTGATGCTCATGAAGGGCTACTACCTACTCCAGTACTCGTCCGTTTAGGAGCATAAAATATCAACTCTTTTCAAACAGGAAATCTCGCCAAAACGAGATAAATAATTTTCAAATTGAGACATAAAGGTAACTTACTTCGACGAATTTCCTTGCGTCCATAATACATTTGTTAGCACATGGTTGGTCGATGGAGAGGAGTGTGCTCATGCGCTCCTCAAGAGCATCAAGTCGCCTCAAATAAGTCATCTTCTTGTTCACAGTAGTTGTACCATGAGGAGCATCCCTGTAAATTTCCTGTAGCAAATAAAACATACGCGAATATATCAAAGGACAAGAAAAGCAGTAACCGTTTATAAGTTTCTCCACAAACCTACCACCCTTCTGCGACCCTGAGACGAAAACCTTCACGGCACGGTGGTAGAACTTAATTTACCTCAGCCTGCTTGAAAAAATCGTCAAGGGACATGAGTGATGCAATTCGAACATTCTCTGTATCCATTGATGAACTACGAGTTGGTGAGGTAGCATCATCTTTCGATAGAAGTGCTACGTTAGTGCGCATCTGCATCAAGACCTGTCAAATAAACGCAGTCTGGTTAAGTCACCAGCAACTACCCAACCCCTGCATAGATTCCAGTAGTCCTGAAATGTATACGATAGAGTTCGATCATCCAAGAGTGTAACACCAGTATCAAAACTGGCAGTATCAAAACAGGTACTTCTTGCCAAGGATCTCAAGCAACAGATATTGATTGGAATACGAAGACTAAATCAGCGTAGGGGAAGCGAGGCTCAACACTCTACAACCCGAAAAAAAATTCTCGCCAAGTCAGTCAAACAAAGCAACTAAATGCGGTAAGAAGATGACCTTGCGGCGCTTGTGCTCTACAGATTCTAAAGCTGACCGCAACTTAGTAACCTGAGCCGCGTCCTCTGCTTCCTCAGTTGCCAATGTAGCTGCCACATCCTGAGACATCCAGCGCATTTCAAGCCCCAATCAGCAACAAATTGGTGCATTTTGGGTATGTCATTACAGGTAGAAGATTTGGCGCAGGCATCATCAGCTTAAAAGATATCTACGGTTAGCATTGCTGAATTGAGTTGAAATCACCGTTAGGTGCTGAAGCTGGCGAGTGTAGACCATGCTAGTGTAGTCAGACAAAAGTTGACCCAAAGCATCAGTACTGGGTTGGGCTGGAACTCCAAGACCGGACATCCAGCCATCTAGAATAGCTGTTGAAAGGAGCTCCAAATGACTGGTTACCCCTCCTATCGATTCTTCACCAGTCAGCGACAAGAAATCAAAATTCTCAGCAAGCCACCCTCGAATCTGACGCTGCAGCTCACCTGAATCAACAGAAATAAGAATGCACAACCTCTTAGTGTCTAGTTAGAAATAAAGGGTTTCACCATTCTTTGAAGAACATCAATGAAGTACTAAAACGCTTGGAATGACGATTTTGAGAAGACGTCCCAGGCCCCAAGAGATAATTACACACAGTAGAAATACACACGCTTCACAAAAAGATGGTTGAGATGTATAGATCGAATTAGAGTTACACCAACTCAAGGCAATTACTCTATTTTCATAGAAAAGGAAAAAGAAAAAGAAAAAGAAAAAAGATTATCATACCAGCCGGGGTGTGCACGAAGAGTGAAGCAAGTCCCTTATTGCCAATTGCAAAAGCGCGTGCTTCTTCTGTTGTCTCTTTTAACTTCCCTTCCGTTACATGTGGTCGCCCATTATCCTGTACGAGCAAACAAATTGATCAGAATTGCTACAATTCATCAAATGGGAAACATAAAAATCTCCTGAACGGTAAGTTTAAGGAGTAATCAGAGAGATTCTAGCAAAATGACTGTAAATCAAGTACATCACCCCAAGTCGATGCAGTTTTCACCTTCACGATTGCATATTTTATGGACTTAGCGACTCAATCGTGTTAAAGACAAACAGAAAAGAAATAAATAAACAAAGATTTGAGACACTTCTAATCCTCAAGGCTATATTCATACAAGGTATTGATGTAACAGTTACATCAGATCCAAACCTGATCCCCGTTTCCCATTAACTTTGAGACTAGAGAAGAAAACTTTGAACGTTTCTCTTGTCTAAGACTAACTTTAAATCCAGGCCCATAGTCGTCCGCGCCTTTGTTCCGATGAGCAGGCGATCTCTGGGGACTACTTCCGAGACTTGAATTACGACTGCTACGTCCACTACCAGATCCAGTTGCTGATCCTGACCCTGCTTTTTCCAAAAACCTTTCAACAGGCGGAACCTACCGAAACCACAGTAGATGTTAATGAGCGTGTTTCGATTTTAAGGACATTATTGCAAATTAATACAACACCTCTACCAAAATATAGTACTAAGAAACAAAGCTGAATCACATCCGAAGCAGCAGCATTCAATATAAATGTCCGACTTGAGTCATATTAATTTAATCATATCAGGACCATAAAAGTCATGAATACAATGTCGCAAGAGCAGTAACTCTACTCTAGACATTTGGTTACTCTTGCACTGTAGATAAAACACATTCTTAGGATACTACTAAAAAAGTTCAAGGTAGAGTACAAAAAGCACTACAAGATCCATTTTATTATTCTCCACGCCAAGATTTGATCCACAAATAACAAGTTCAGGAACTCAATGGTATAGGGTATCCGTAAATGATATAATAGTTTACCACGTGAACCCGTTAGTTCACAACAGATTAACATCTCGTACCTTGAGGGATTGTAGCTCCGGTGCCCTGGACAGAAGTGAGCGAATGTACAGAATCCGCACACGGGAAACAAGCATGGTGTCCATAACCAATAAATTTTCCATTTTATGCAAGAATCCGAACACAGCTCCTTGAATTTCTGCAAGCATCTCATGCTCACGAGATGCCCCTGCCTTAATTACAGCTGCCAAAACCTGCCAATCGACAACGAGGCGATCGCAATCTCGTTTTCAGCAAAATTCTCACAACAATCCCTCCTATGATCAAGTCAGAGAATGAATTCAAGAACATGCAACAGCTAATAGAGCTACACAAAGTTGGCCAAAGACGTCTAAGTCGTTCGAGCTTATGTATAGTTCGACTCCCAGCTGCATGCGCAGTAAGCATTACCAGCATCAGAAGTTTGTTGGCACCATCAGCAATTGCTGCATCACTTTCGTACTGGGCTGGATTGAAATCCATCAAAGCAGCTGTCAAATATTCTCCTGCTGGTGTTGATTTTACTGACTCTCCCGAGCCATACTTAAGCAATGCACCACTACCTCCCGGAGAGGATGGTGGGCCAGCTGATTCCCTCATACTACTGGATGATCGCATGTCTGGAGAACCTGGCACTGCAGTAGCACTAAACGAAACAACCCCAAATTCTTCCTAAAGTCAGTCAAGACAAACAAGAAAAATGAAAATATTTATCAGGAATCAACTAGATCTTGGCCTCAAACACTTCGAGCATCCTGAAAGCTATGCTAAACTTAAGACTGATATCCAGAATTCAAATACCTTACGAATCCACCGTCCAAGTTGAAATCATCCATGCCCCTTGACTCCGCACGTGGAATCTTAATCAGAAACACAATGTTGGTCAGTGCAAGTATTAGACAACCCAAATAATGTAGTGAACCAGGAAGCCTTAGACAAATTAAAAAATGCTACTGAGAAGTTTGTGAAGCTCGAAATGAAGTGATTATAATGATGCGGGCCGAAAACGAAACACTTTAGTATTTTAGAAACTATGTTTCGAGGGTTACATGAGAGTCTGAGCTCTGGGAATTTAACTATAGGAAAGTGGCGAAACGAATAAAGTGAAACGATTTAGTACCTTCGGAGTGGATGAAACCCTTGGTGAGCTAATTGTAGTCATACTCCTATCCGTCAGTCGCTCGAAAAGCTTCTCATTCTCTTGATGTAGTCTCTGTGATGGCAAAAACAAGCAGGTAATTCTAAAAGAGGGCATTGAAGTGCATATAAAACATTTGAGATGAAGACATCAAGGACTAACGTAAAGCCTGACCATATACACCGTGATCGAATTTATCTGACATGTGATAGAACGCGGAGGAGTTTAAATATAGACCTCGATAAGCTCGTCTCGCTTGGAGAGCTCCTCTTCGAGTTTCTGATTCATGTCCAAAGCATTTTCGGTTTCTTCACGCAGCCGTTGCAACTCTGCGGAGTTATCTGGCCTAGCAGGCAAAGTTCTGGCCGCAGCAACTCTAGCTTCGTTTAGTTGCTGTTCCAGCACCTGCACCCTTACCTGCCAATCATTGCACTTGATACGACTTATTCCGGAACACTCTCTTCAGCAGCTTAAAAAATAGGAAAACTAACAATGAAGTGACCTACGATATGAATTGAGTGTCTCCATGGTCAGTCAGCCAATGAAAAAAAGCTGCGCAAAGTAAAGCTCATCAAATTATAATTACTTCCTGAATTGCAGCCCTCTTGTCCCAGAAATTATTTAAGCATATTAAATACTGCTTGGATCAGTCGAGATTCATGGTTATGCAGGACAACTCACTTCAAGTGCCTCATTCCTTGCACTGCGCTCCTTAATCTGCGACTGATATTGCTCTTCTCGCGTTGTGAATGTCGTTAACTGTGTCAACACATTCGTATACTGCTCTTTATCTCTGATGCTCTGCTCGCTCAGTCTATCGTTTTCCAACTGTCGGTAAAGGATTTGCAAAAGAACAAGTGAAGAAGCGTAAATGCAAGAAGCACGATAATAGCACCTTACACCCTCCGCAAAATTTCGTCATTCGAAAAATGTTGTTAACCAAGAGTATTTCACATCCACTTCAATAAAAATTAAGGTGCGACCCATTTTGTAATGCTGGCATCCTCTACACACATAAATGCAAGAAAAGAACTCCATGGCCGGTACAAAAATCAAAAAGTGCATCAGAGTCCTTGATAAGTTGCAACACGCAAATTTCTAACAAACCTCTGAAAATTCATATACTTTAAAAGAAGTATAATGACGGCCAAGGTTTGTACCTGAAGCTTGTTAATATATGATTCATGACTGGTGAGATCAGCTTGTAGGGAGCTAGCCAACTTCCATGCCTTCTGAACCTCACCAAATAATAGTAAGCACTGGTCATCTGATTCCTTCAAAGCGCGCTTTAACTGCATCACTTCACCAAGGGCCTCTGTTGCCTCTTTCTCCTTCTCATATAATTCTTTGCGAGCTTCACTTGCCTGATCACCACACATATATTCTAGTAAGGAGCGACCACATCCAGCGGAAACTACAAGGATCATAACAGTATCTTCTAAACAACCAATTTTGGAAAACAGAGACTAAGTGAAACATAAGCTCAAAGACTGCAACTGACCCTACGAGAACGAACAGATGTGAAGTTAGGATCAACTTCATGTGAACGGGGCAACCAAAAAACAAAATCAAGAGATTAGTCAAGCCTAGGATTACCATGTCTCTCCACTTCTTAATTGTATCTCGATTACCCAAACTGATCTCGGCACTACGAGCACGAGATGCAAAATTCAAAGTTGCGATGGTTTCTTGTACTTCCGCATTACTGGGATTAACATTCGCAATTAGAACTGCCTTTGAGTCTCCTCCTACAAAAAGAAACAAAAAAAAAAAAAAAAAAAAAAAGACATTGATTGAGTGAATTCCGAGATCTAGTTCATCGTTGACTTGACATCCTGTAATTTCGATCAGGTTCGATGTGAACTATAAATTAAATTCAAACTCAAGAGTCTCAAATAGAACTGCTGATAGTAGTCTGACATGCTGAATGAGGTGTAAATGAGCATGCATACATACCACTAAAACAAAGTTACGGTTTGCAACTGTTGTTGTTCAAGAGTTACGTACCAAGAGAATCGTAAAGAAGTTCAGTCAGCTTCGAATGGTCGTAAGGAATATAATCTTTCTTCGTGGTCAGTGCAGACAAGACATCACCCAGACTGCAGAGAAACTCATATTAGGAGCTAGATAAAGAATTTCCCTTTTCCATATTCAGGATAGAGAGATGTAAAAGTTCTGCTAATGTGACCGTAGGTCCACACATCCATTTAAAGAAACCATCAAGTCATGAATGTACATTTCTGCGGATCTGACAATTGAACTTACGCGGATAGAGATTTGTTAATGTGCAATGACTCTGTCAAACGGTCTCCGTTAGCTTCGGCCTTGTTGAGACGCTCACTACCAGCCAAATCCACCATTGATAGCTTGCTGTAATGCTCCTCTCCAGTTAAAGAATCTGAACTGTGAATGTGAATCGTCACCACTCTGATCACCCCACTTCAGATATCAGTACAGCATAATTTAAGAAGTCCACGGTGTTGTTCAGTGCTTGTCTGAAGAGTTAAATGGCCAGAACAGAACTATGTAAACCAGGGTACTTGGGGTTCGGAAGAAGCGTAGAGCACCAATTAGATCTAATTCAAACATATATGTGGCATGCTGTTCTTGTACCTGACTGACTTAGCAGGCAATACACAGAACAGGATTCAATTCGCACACGGGCTGACTGCATACAATCCAACAAAGGCAACATAATATATGCCAAGGAAATTACAAGTGCGAGCGGCTGCTGCGATCAAACTTCACTCCATCCACATTTGCTCGCATTTGCTTTCCAAACTTGAATATTCGGGCAAATCCAGATGGACTGTCTAAACGCTCATCCACCAACTCAACACCACGCCCCGGTTCCCCAAACAGGACTGTGGAGGCACCCCTGTTGTCTGGAGCTTTCAGGAGGTCCCGGACCTGCAATGATCATAGCATTCAAGATATGGGTCTTTTACAGACGACGTTCAAATAAATACTCCGAACTTGTAGAGTTCAGCAAAGCTTTCATTCGCAAACATAAAAGAAAATCGATAAAACCTTATAATTCTAAAGACACATCATTGTGAGCACTGAACCTACCTGTTCATTGTAAAGCTCGAACATTGTGACAAAGAATGACGTGCTTGAAGTTGGAGTGGCTTCTGAGTTAACCAGATCAAAGAGCTCTTCCAAGACTCGGTAGTATAACCCTCGGTCATGACTTGGTCCTTCCTGTTACAGAACCCCGACTCATGTAAACCATCACGACAGCTGATATGAGATGATAAAACAAATTCTACTGTAAAGGATTCTGTTGGTAATGTAACTCGGCCCTGATAACGTTAACAATTCCGAACATAATTGCAAAGATAATGCAAACCTTTAGGTTAACACAGAAATCACATCTATTTGCCCAAGCAGGATCCTGTGAACCATGATTAAATCAAGAGATGAATACGTACCATAGTAAAAGTTTTTCCTGCTCCGGTTTGACCATAAGCAAATATAGACACGTTAAAGCCATCCAGTGCAGACTGTACAAGAGGCTGGAGGTCTTGAAAGATGTCGGCTGCAATGATAAGATAACCGTTAATTTCAGAACAACCCAACATCCTTTGAGAAGGAAGTAACATTAGAAGGCGAAAATTGTAATCATAGGATTAGATGTAAACCCCTATCTTTAGGCAATGGCATTAATGCACGTCTTGATCCCCGATTTTCCTCTCTCCCAAAGACCGACCCCTTAATTAGCTATTATCCCTGTCTATGGCAGAGGAGAAGGAGAACCTTGAGAGATGTGTGGACCATAAATGCGGTCCAACTCGAAATCCTTGTTAGGAGCAGCTGTAACGTTAGAGTTGAGACGAAGCGTGAAGTCATCAGGATAAGTCGTAGAAGAGGGGCCTTCATCCTCAAATTGTGGTCTAGCTCTGCAATAAACTCTGACGTTTCCTGTACCCAGAAAGTTGTTTGAGCTTCCAGCAAATTAAAAGCGTGATGATAAATCAAACAGTTCAACACATTTACAATTTTATGACATAATTCGGTACTCCAGAAAATGGCCAACTAATAATCTGACATTAATTGAGACAGCCGCCAAAGCAACCGACACAGGAGCAACCAGCAAAATCACCTTTTGCAGAGACTAACTCGTTAAAAAGCTTCTTCTTTTCTTTCTTCAATGGAGTCACTCGAGACTCTGAATCCAGAGCTACCTCGTCTGTGAAGGAAGTGAGATTCATGGGTCAGGAGGAATGACAACACGACATGTTCCACCACTGTAATAAATGATGGAATACACCATAAGATTCTATACTTCAGTTCTAGGAAGCTTCCATTTGTGCTGTACCACCGTAATATTTTACAAAGCTTGTCTACTTGATAACTCCCATCAGATTTCCTGGACACGATCCGTGCACGTGTATGATATGATATTCTTTCAATACACTGGTGACTGCAGGAATGCATTGCAGGAGTAACGCATATAAGCAAGTCCCCCTGTTCGTGCCTGACTCTCCAGAGGCCCATCAAACAAAGAAGGATACCGAAGTCAGAGAGTAATCACCTAATCGGCGAGCCTTCTCAGCAAGAACTCCCAAGTATCTGGTCACCCGTTCAATTTTGGCATTTGAATATTCTTGTAAGTCACTAGCCTCTTGTCGGAGCTCTATGCATTCCTCTCGTGCACTCTGCGGAAGTATAATATCAGCATCACAGCTAGATAAAGCACATTCGTCTACTGGGAGACTTGTAGAAAGGTTTCTCTAGCGGTCTGAAAGCCAAGACGCTAATGCGAGTTGGTTATATAACCCCAGGATTATTTTAAGGCACGCGTAGACCATACATCTAAAGTATCTGTCTCTTTTCCCAGACGAAAATTCCATCGATTTATTCCTCCACATAATTTCCTCCGCATTACAATTCCTTTCGTGTAACTCACATGCGACCTTAAGTGGCAGAATCAATCTGACCGCACAATGCACCGATAAAACAATTTAATTCACCAATTTGGTATGCCAGAGTACGTAATTTCAGCTCGTAGTCAATTTCCGCTTTTGCATTCGAAATATTATCTAAAAGATCATGAATGTCACCTCGCAGACCCACTTCTGTACACAGACCTACACTTCTCTGACTACTGAATGTATGCAACTCTCAGCTTCATGACTGTCTAGAACAAATAATCCCAGTGAATGAGCAGTCTCGCGATCCAGTTTAAATAGCATCTCATACTACAATTCGAAGAGGATTAAGGGATCGTGCAAAACTGAATGGCTTATTTTCAAAGAACACTTGGGGGTGTAACCGTTGTTGTCCTATTTCAGCACAACTTCGTGGTCTGCCTCCACACCTCCCAACAACCAAGTCCGCAGAGGTGGGCGAGAAACAAACCAATTGTACACTGCAACTATCACACGTAGCTGCGAGAGCGAAGAAGCACACAGGCAGCATGCGAGAAAGGCGGAGAACAAGAACGGCGTGCGATACGCGCCCGTGCATTGCTCCGGTCCACATGCATGTCGGTGTGTACAGCTTACGTATTCAAAAGAAAAAAAAAAAAACAAAACAAAACAAAACAAAAACAAAACAAAAAAAAATAAACAAACAAACAAATGGAAGGCGCGTTCCGAAACTCACAGAGAGACGGTCCTTAACTTTAAGAACCTTGCTGACAAATGTGGGAGACTGCAAACTTTTCTGTTTGGGAGTGTCAGGGAACTGCACGGCAGAAATAGAATGTCGTCTCCCTGCTAAAGAGGGGGACTGTGGTACCCTTCCTGCCAGTGAAGGAGACTGCGGCACTCTTCCCGTCAAGGAAGGAGACTGAGGAACATACACAGGCGCCTCGCGCACCCTCGGTTCATCATCTGCATCAAACTGCCTGTATGAAGGTAGCCCCCCGCCCCACGAATTGCGTACTCCTTTGGCATCCCCCATTTATCCACCCACCAATCCCCTTCGTGCGAGTACCCAATAAAAGAATCCTGATCCTCAATATAACTGCGTGATCCCGCAATTATAATAGAAACCGACAGTTCTAAAAAAAATCCAAGATGCCGGGAAGCGGATGCAAGATGTCAAATTGTTTAGACGATTCAACTGCTGGACCCCACAGAATTAAGAGACGAAGCCTGTGCATGTCCAACTGAGCTAGGTCACATCCGCAATGACCTAAGGCATTCCCAATCTCAACAAAATTCGAAAGAGAAATCTCACTCCACCCACAGGAGCTTTCCACCTCAATATCTGCCCAAAGGCTTCCACATATAACGCAAAGAACGCGCGCTCATTGTCACTATCGCTACTTCCCTGTCAGTCCAAGCTCCTAGAAACGCTACACAACCAAGCCTAAGAGCCCGAAGAGCTAACAACTCCCAAGCTGCCAATCACACCACATCTGCGACAAAATTGCATATCCTGCTTTCGTTCCTCGACCACGTAATAACAGCGCACAAAGCCCCTCCCCTCAGAGTCCATCAACGAACACCCAACCTCCCACACCTCGTCACCTCCCGCCCTACGCCCCTCTTCGGCAGGCTACGACGACGCCTTCGCAACCATTCAAAAACTCAAACACTCCGATCACATGGTCATGCCACCTACCCACTTCAACCCCCGCGACTGAAATGACCTCCGTATCATAAACAGAAGACTCTCCTAATGTCAGGTACCAACGCCATCAACAGTGACTGGATAAAATGGCGCAACGAAGAAGGGGATGCTTGTCACCAAGTCAAGCAGGAAATTGAAATGAACGCCCAGTCGGATCGCGGAAAAGGAAATCGTTGGGACCCAATTGGGTACGTGGGAAGAAAGAGACAGCGAGAGTAGGACGAGGAAAGTTCAAATTCTGTTGCGACAGAACGGAGAGAGGATGGTGGACGGAGCATGGGTGTGGACACAAACTAAAGCAGTCGATGAAGGAACACAAGCCCAGTGGACGGAGCATTAAGCCCACCGCACCAGGAGGGGAATTGTGGGGGTTTGTGGAATGGGTTTATTTTAGCATGTTGCTTCGAGATGCCTCATTCGGTAAACTGTGGATTGTTCTGGGTCGATTGAGGAGTTCGGTGCGATTGTGAAACTTGTGCCAATCATCAGGGAAACGGGCGGGAGAAAAAAGAGGCGGTGATTTTGTGATAGAATGACTATTATTCGGGAATGGACAAAAAAAAATACTTCAAAATAAAGTATAGACAGCAAGAAGAAAGGCATGTCGATGGACATGTGCATGAGAGTTTTGATAATTTGTTGGATAACAGAGGTGTAAGAAGGAAGAGGAATCAACAGTATCAAGGTCCTGAAAGAATCATAGTTGCCTCAACGATTCCTGTTGTACAGGAGCCATATGGAAACCGCATGATTCCGAAATGTTTAACGTTGGATCATTTTCCATGCTTTGATTCCACTTAACATGGTAAAGATTAGATTTGATTTGTTTGTTAATTCATTTTTTCATTCTCTCAATATAAGAATATGCCAATGCGGTATGAAGCATGGCAACATCGAAGATTAACAAGTATCGGAAATTATCTAGTCAACATGAAGCATTCCATGTCAAGTAAGGTGACTCTAGGGATCCTTGTAAAACCTTCAAATTTTACAGGATTTCATCCAGTCTTGAACGCATACCCAACATGTCAGTGGCGACAAGCAGGAAGTCTATAAAAAGCAGATGAAGTGCACCGTGAGCCTCAAAATGCACGGAGTACAATTCTCAAACCCATGACTTTTGGCCTGCCTGGCGGAACGAGCAGCCTTGTCTTACACTTCTCATCCTTCTTTTCCTTTCCAGTGAGACCCATAAATTCATTGACAATACGCAGGTGACATCTGGTATTGTCGTGCATAAAGATTGGAGAAGTTTATAAAGTTGACGTCGCTGCGAGCCAGCTGGATGCATTCAGATTCATAGATTTTAATTGATTTAACTGCATTTTTTATACTATCATCACCACTCTTAAAAAGACAGTTCGCCAACTTTGACAGGATGGAATGATATGGGTTCTTGTGACCTGTCATGTATCGGACCTAATTGGCGTTGTCGAACACACCATAAAAACTGTCACTCTGCATTGTCTTAGAATGATGGTTTTCCCATAGAATTCTCTGCGTTGTAACCTCCTCCATCAATTTTTTCTGAACTTGTGATTCAATTAAGAGTAAAGGGAGGGAAAGTAGAAACAGAATTCAATACCTCTTGAAAAGTGTATCAGTAAACGGATCCATGGTGGTGCATCGAGGAGCATTCAGTTAATGAGAACAAATTGAACAGTGAACGCAATGCCGCAGTTCTGGTTACCTGGAGGAAGGGGAGCCACACGCTGAAAGTGAGCTCCCGACCAGACCTTGCCATAGTGGGCGTGGATGCCACCTAAGCCTATCCTGCTTTTTGCACACACTAGTTTACGGTATCTTCGCAACCTATCAGCCTACGAGCCGAGATTTGTGATGGTGTTTCTGAGCACTATTACTTTTGATAGAGGGTTTCGACTCAAAGGTGTTCACACAATCCACGCAGGCTTAGTTCAGGTGCCAAGCGACAGATAGACAGAGTTTATGAGGAGGACGAATTTAAATAAACAATTCGCAGTTTGCAAAAGGTAGAGGCATCCACACCCACTGTTGGGTATAGCAACTGGGACCAGAATAAATCTCGGAACATATGCTAAGAGAGATTCACAGATTTTGTGCTTGAGGTGAACCTTATCCATAACCCTCTTTGAGCATAAAATAGCATTGTATCGGGAATTGGCCAGGAGATGCTGTTAAACCTTTCGAAAGTGTAGCTACAGATATCTCAAGAAATACACAAGTGCAAGTGCTCGCTGGAAGGACACCTGGGGTGACTGCAAGAAGCATTGATTGATCCAAATCACAGCGATTCACTGCTGAGTGACAATTACAGAATTTATATGTAAGGGAAACGAACTGATTCCTGTAGTCTCCTGATTTCAGTAACGCAAGTCAACATGGGGCAGGTCATGATGTCACTGCAATGTACTGGTGGCCAGATTTATACAGTGAGCGATCCTGCCAAAGAACTAGTACACAGTGAGCATGAGCGTGTGAAATGATGGTCTGCAAGACGCTAAAATTCGTACTGTGATTAGAGCAATCCAAAGAGAGTCCTGGCGCCGCTATTCTGCTTGAAATGAGCAAGTTTTGCCAAGGAAAGCTCTGCAGAATCGACACTCTGATGAAATCAGCGCATTCAATAAAGGAACATTTTACCTGTAGTGGTTAATCATAGAACACAAACTGTGAGTTCATATCTTCGTGTTGAAGGAAACCTTACCTTGAATTCATTTCCAACACCACTCAGAAACAGTGCGCAGTGCAATTATCCACCTGCCCTGCAGTTATTTGCAAACGAAAATGGAAAGTCACAGCACGACTCCCCGCATTGTTCTGTGGTTTAAGGATCACACTATTCGCTCGGAAAGCTCAAAGTAGACCATTTGCTTAATCCATGACCTCAAAAAAATATCACACCGTTGCACCCAAACGGAACGATTATCAAAATTATCAGAATTAATTCCTTGACATATCTCATGAACGGCCAAACAGCACTGTTCAAGGCAATAATCACTAATCCATAAGTGATTATCGGTTTGTAATGTGCTTTCCGTGGCACACTCCCTTCGACACTAAAACGGTAAATCTCCAGAATTTTGAACGGATGTATCCTAACAATGGCGTCGTCCCCGACCCAGTGATCACGGCCCTCATTTGTTGAGGGGGGGTGGTCGGAGAATGAAGTGCTCTGTTTCGGTGGGGTCTGAAGTTGAAAGCTGAGATTGTTAAGGTCAAGGAATCGAAACTGTAAATGAATGCAATCCTACAGTCTCAGTCATGCATTAGAATTTGAGCTCGAGCGGTTCCACTTGTCTGTTTGCTACTGCCTGTAAGCACTGAGCCTGTCGATACCGCAAAATCACCAGGACGTATTTGCTCGGAAAGTTGATCTGTTGGTTAGACTTGGCACTTGCGAGAGTTTTCCAGAAGAGACTCCATGTTACAGTGGTTGTCAAAGAACAGGAAACAAGAAAAAAGTTCGTACTGAACAATGTCATACGTACTGCTAAGAGGACGGATTTGGTGGTAATGGATACAGGGTCGCGAAGAGCAGGCTTGGAGTCATCAGGAACAACCCTAAAGGGAGGTTTTCCAGAGCTTTCTACCCATCTCTGAGTAACGGCTTTCCATTCCCAGTCCTCCTGGCCGGAGGTAGAGACGGTGGTGTTTGGCTGAGTGCTGCTCATGACTCTGTTTTCTTAAACCTGCATTCAACACGAGTATTCGCTTTAAGGAGGTACGTCAATAATATACGTTTATATGTTGTCTTTTTCATTTGTTGCAATGCCTGACAGTGTCCCATTACTTATCAGCATACATAACAAAAATCATAGTTGTTTTACTTTATTTCAAAGAAAGAGCGGACATGTGTATACAAGAGAATAGTGACAACCAGAGCTCGCCACGAAGAAATCACATTCAGGTCATGCTACTTGAACTGTTGCATCGTTAAGATACTCAGCGAACCACGAAATTCCAACTTGTGCATACGTGTCTGATTAATCACTGCCCACTGTATAATATACTTAACACAAACTGTCTTGACCTCTTCAGTTCCAAAATGTGGAAATCTAGTTCAGCTGCAAAACTCACGTGGAATGTCCCTACCATACGTATCAGCCGATTGATGCAGATTCAGCCGGACAGTTACATTCTCACCTCAGTCAGACACTGCAAAGTTCCCCCAACGAAATAGTTTGATGATAAGAACGAAATAGCGTATAAGCGCCTCCATCACACACAACTATCCCCACTAACAGGAACGAGATACACTTCCTAGGAGGTTCCAACCCAGTCAAACAGAGAAACTAACAATCCACGATCACCAGAAGAAACAACAACGCCATTCGACAAACAAAACTAGGGCTCATGTGTACAAGGAGAAGCGAATGCGGTACTATGCAACAAAACCCTTCGATAGACTCTCATGGTACTAGTGTGGCATTGGACACTTTGCCACCTCCATCACAGACATGAGGCACAAGATCATGAGCTACGCAAGAGAAAAACCTAGGTCAAACAATCTAACAGATACTTGCAGCAGTGTAAAAGATGCATCGGATACCTGGATTGCCTGCGCTTTCCGTCAAACCTCTCCGCCTCCCCGATCTGGAGGAAATCCGAAAAGGAGTTATTCGACAAGGAGTTCGATAGTTGAGAACATGTCCGCATCAATTCGATACCCTGCCTAGTGCCATAAATGACTCGGATATCTTCCTTCAGAGTTTAGGATATTTCACAACGACCCCACCGGTTTTCCCGGATAAGCTTTGATTGGATGAATGAATCCAGAGGCTTTTCAGCTTCCACAGTATCAGATGTACTAATTTGACACTCTAGCTTCAAATTCGCAAGTCCTAAAATAATGTGCTTCTTTGATGGTTTTATAAATATGAAGGTTGGTGGCCTGGAAACCATCAATGTGCTGGGTCCACACCTCTAAACCAGTCATTGTAAACTGTCACTCCACCAGGATCTAACTGCCGAGCGCATGCAAGGACATCGTGTTAGCCCGACGTTGGTTGCGAGTGCTGTAGAATGGTGACCTGTCCGACGTGGTTAAATGTTCCCGGAGTGCAGTTCAAAACATTCTTTGTTATTCCCTCTTGGAACCGAGACAGAGACGACTCTTATCTGGTCCCCTTTCTGGAGCTATCCTTGCCGAAAAAGCAGCATTTTATTTAAACTCTGACGTTACTTGTGGATAATTATTGATCATTAACACACTTGTGTTTCATCAAGTGTCATAACTTAATGCTTTGCTGATGTAGTTGGCTGATGGAGATAATTTTGAAGACTTGAAGATGTTGAATCTGAAACGGATCATAATTTTCCAGACCCATCACAAATCATGACAATGAGGCTCAACCAGACAGTGGAAGAGTGGCCCTGATCAAAATGATCAAGATTGCAGCTGGATATACCAGATTGTATTGCATGCAATAGATTACATGTGCATTGTATTATAAGTAAACGGACAAATGCCAGGGTTCTCATCACTCTTCAAATCACCTACCTTGAAAAACTAAGGCTTTGAAAACCATTATACAGTGCAGAAAAAAGTGAATCGTTCATTCGAAAAAACTATATAAAGAAACAAAGCGAAAGAATAGGTCAGTAGAGCGAAACCTAATCAAAAGTCTCCCAGTCAGTATTTTGGTGAGAGTCAGAGGCTGGTGGGGGTGCACTCAAACTGCCCAAACCGTTGTCAAATGTTTCCCAATTGGTTGTCACTACCACAGTGGGATCAGTGGCGGGAGGGTCAGGCTCCATCCTCAGCCCCCTCAAGCTGTCAATTTTTTCCACCAAATTCTGAATTCGCTTAACCTGCAAAACCAAACCAAGTCCATCAATTTGAGCACACTTCCACAAACAAAAAGTGACAGCAAAACCCCACACATTAGAAAGATGAAAAAACTTGACAAGTTCCGCATGCAGGGAGCTCAGAATTAATAAGAAAACTGAAGTGATCAAGTGAAGTGTGAAAGGCATATTAAATTCGGTACTCAATAGGAAGAAGTAATGAAAAGAAGGGCACGGAAAAAGATAGAAAAAATGCGTGAAAAAGCTGAGCATAATTTATTGAAAACATCAGAACCCTGAAAATCATGAGGATAAGAAATACCTCTGTCCTCCTCATTGCTTTCGCATCACCATCTGCCTCAATACCATCCAGCTTTAGTAACTGCCTCATCAACATTTCACTGACAGCAAGCATCTCTTGGTCTGCTGGTTTCTTTCCACTCTTGATTGCTGTCTGAAATCTTGACACCTGGCACAGGTAGATGGATCAACCAGTCGTTTTTCAGAATATCTTGTAGAATAAATAGAGCCACAAAAATAAAACAGAGAACTTGAGAGGGTATATTCAGAAATACAAGAGATGTGGAAAGTCCAACTTCAGGTCTGGCAAACCTAAAATCCTTCACCAGGATATCTAACAACAAAAGTGGATTTGCCAAAATAAACAACAGAAATGCAAGATTTCCACTGAGATGATTCCAACCTAAGCAGTAATAACCAACCTGATCGTACAGATCAAACCAATGTGGGTAGGTTGGAGCACACAAGTATTGAAAAAATGGACTGAAATACAAACAAAATTGTTGTCATGCAAAAAATTAGTTCAAGCACACACTTGTGACGCATACTTGTCGACCTCCGCTCGGATGTTGCCGATAGCGTGACAAGTCTTTGCAATGCGCTCCAACCTGCGCTGCTCTTGAATTTTCTTTTCTCGAGCAGCTGGATCCTCCACAAGAATGATCTTAGCCTTATCCTTAACCCCCGCTAAGTGAAGAGGCTCGCCATCCTCCTTCTCTTTGCCTCTAAAAAGGAGCCGCATTTCAGAGGGCTGCAAACCCGTGTCTCCAACCAGTAACCTCTTCAAATCACCTTCATTTGATTATCAATGAAATCAACTTCAATCCAAGCAAAAGAAGGAAAAAAGGAAAGAAAAGAAAAACCCCAAGATACCAAAAATAATATATCATGCACTATTCTTGACAAGGTCCAACAATCTAAACCCCAATCGGTTGTTAACAGGATTCGAACGATACAGTGAAACGTAGAAGTGAAAGAACTTAGACGCTACAGAAACTCTGCTCAGGAAATTCGTTCAAGTTATGAATGAATTACCTCCTGGACACTAAAACAGCTCCTGCATATTAACATAGTGAACCATGCATTCCATGGGAGTAATGTCATGAAGTGTCGTGAATGCCAAAAATTTAATAGTAAGGCAGTAACGATCAAAACATCAACTGAGGGCATACGCAGAATAATAACTAAAAATGCTAATTTATCTAGATTATTGTCACGATTATCATTGAAGCAAAATTTTAGGGTATGGCGCACCAAATGTGGAGTGAGCAGGAACACTGACGTCGTGGCCGAAAAGACCATGTGACACTTTGATTTTAACTAGAGGTCCGGTTGCCACTGCTGCATCAGGATCCCTCTTCTGCACCAGCATGCCTCCAGGCCGCATCTCCCACTCTATAGGCTCTGTGGATTCTTCCGCACTACCAGTCATAAGACCCTTCGAATTTGGCTGATTCATCTTCGCGGACCTCCCTCGATCACTAAGCACAGCCACAGCAATTTCCTACGCCCCTGAAAGATAAATGACCCAAAAAGAAAAGAAAGGAAAAAACGGAATTGGCTCAATGCAACCTCTATGATAGGACTCGCAATGCACACCAATGAAGGAAAAGCTTCACCACCAGAAACAAACCCCCTCTTACTATGCACCAAAGACTCGCTCACTAAAACCAGCCTCTCTTTGCCAAAATATGTCTCCGTGAATCTCAAGGCACCCAAACTTCTGTACCTAATTGACTTCTACAACTGCTTAAACCCTAAAATCCAACTCAAACAAACGTGCCACGCCAAGCTCTCTCCACTTCATTAAAATTTCACTCCATACTACCCTGAACAGCACTGTCCCAAATCATGAACGACCACCACAGCTGCAAAGCTCAGACTTTCCTTTCCTACTCAGACGTGCTTCGTTGAAGAATAAGTCACATCCGCGACTCAGCCAGCCAAAATAACTTCACTCCTTCAAACTATCTCGAAATCAAGGAGATCACGCGCAAGCGCAAAAACCATGCACAAGTCAAGCGCGACGGCCGTGAAGGACAAACCAATGATACTGCAGAGGAGTTCCCAATCCCGCGAAGAGGATGACTCATCAACATACACTCACTACGAAAGACGACTACGTCGAGTTGAACTCATAAAACTCACACCCGAAGTTCAGCAACAGATCCAACGATGACAACCTCCACCATAAACATCTCAGAAATCTCACGAATCACCTTCGCAATTGACTCCTTCGCGCGCCAGGTCTTCTACATCCACATTTTGATGAAAAGACGTAATGATCCAAGACATGAGAAATACCTGCAGCAATGCACCAGTAAACAAAAAGTAAATAAACAACGAAACGAAACAAAACAAAATAAAAGGGGGATACGAACAAGAACAAGAACAAGCTCGACATTGTACCCACGCTCTATCGTGCCTCAACTGCGGACTCCCGCACTAAATCAACAACTCTCTAACGAAGCGTATAATCTCAACGTGTAACTCAGCAACCACAGAGCCAATTCCACTTGTCTCCAGCTAAAAAAACACACACCACACGAGCGACACTGGAAACAACAAGCCAGCACGGGATGTATCCTCGACACACGCTCCGCTTCGAGACCACGCAGCTGCAGAATGCGAGTTCCAATCTGCGAGGGACGGTGGCCGTCCTCGTACTCCATAGCTACAAGCTCCCCAGTTCCTCTGCTCAGAGCTCTCTGCAGGCTCTGAGCAGCAGATCTACTAATGACGTAATCTTATAGAAATCCACATTCTGGACTGATCCTACTAAAGAAATGTACAAATCGGGTTGCCTTTTCAAGGTGTTCATATTGGAGTAACTTTTTGTCGGGTAACCGTTTAACACGTGGCATGATATCAGAGGCCACACCCTTGGCATGGTCTATTATTGATGATCATGAGCTCACTCTGCTCGGCCATTGTTGCTGACTAGGACATTTGTTTTAACTTTTCCTTTTTCAGCGATGGCGAATTAAATCGCTTTTCATTCGAAATTGGGGGAGTTCTTTAAACTTTTAGCTTTTAAGGAATAATATCTTTTATTAATTCGTGCTTTTTCTACTATGATACCCCCTTCTTTTCTTTTCTTTTTTTCTTTTTTTTATTTTTTTAAACAATGGTGTTAAAGGACATTATAGTGATGCTTGGTTGTTTCTTTGAATATATGTATAATTTGGATGTTTTATTAAGGATTTTCAGTGTCAATATATTAACTTTTTTCAAGTCTTTGCATTGGGGCTCTTAAAACTATTCTGCATTGTATTCATTGAATATATATATATATATATACACAATCAATTGACCAAAATTAACGGGACACCTTGAACAAAGTTTACTAGGATAATATTCTTTAAAATTACGTGGACCTTATAATATTGCAAAGTAATACACAAAAGAAAATCAGTTAAAATTTTTTAAAATGTAAAGCTTCAATTTTCGTTACATAGTGAATGACGAATTGCAAGAAAGAGATGAAAAATTTAGATAAAGAAAAAGGAAACGGTGAAAGTAAAAGTGGAAGAAGATAAAAAAAAAAAAAAAAAAAAAAAAAACGAACTCTTCAACAATTGCATTGGATCCTGGTGACATTCTATCATTTGTAAGCCAGCAAGCCTTCTATTATTGCCCCTCATTCTGACATGTCCATGGATGAATGCTCACCTCTGTTACCCTTGAACTATTTGGTTTCTACACTACATTCATCCATTCCTAAGGGATTTTAGGGTTTGGGGGTTAAACATTTGGTAGAACTAGATGCATAGAATAAAATTTAAAAGCTGATAGTTCTATGCATCCAATTTTCATGAGGTTTCTTCAAAGCTAAAAAATTATCTTTCCATTTTTTTTATTCTTTGTATTTTCCATAGCAGTTTTGGCACCCATATCAAAAAAATTGAGCACATAAATATATTTGGTTGAATTGCCTTCATGGTGGTATATAAACACACAAGTCTTCATGAAAATATCCATGTAAATTTTTTCTATCCTTGTGCCATGTTTTTCTTCAATTAATTGATCATAACTATCATTTACGTTATTTTTTCTAACACTCATTACATTTAGAATATTTCATATCAACAAGAAGAAGTTTTCAACACCTTTATGAAATTATGAAATTAAAGCATATATTTTCAAAAAAATCATTTATCTAATCTTATTTTTTATAATTATGAAATATTTTAAAGCCATTGGATATTAAAAATAAAAGAAATATTTGCGCTAAGAGATTGGTATCAAGGTTGGAAAAAGATGCAAATCAACTATCAAGTAAATTTTGAGATTTTTCTTTCAATTGGTAATTTTCATCTACTTCAAAAAAATTTAGGCTTATTGTCAATTAAGATGTGGAGAAGAATGAAAATAATGAGACAAGATGAAGAGTAAAATTATTAGTTTTTGATGGTTTGAATCTACTATAGGATTTGGTTAGGATTTTATTACACTTACTTAAGGTTTTTTTAGGATTTGTAGGATTTATTTAGATTTTGTAAGAATTAGTTTAGGATTTTTTTTTGAATTTATTTAGAATTTATATAGAAATAGTTTTATTATTATATTTTTTAAAATTATTATTTCTTTACAATTCTTTTTTAGGAATATATTTAATGTTTGCTTTTTATTCTTTAGAAATTCATTAAATTTCATTATTATTCTTTTAAGATTTATTTTTTTTTATTTCTTTAGAATTCGATTATAATTATTAAGATTTTATTATAATATATATTAAGATTTTATTAAATCAATAACAATTCTTGAAATGAAATTTTAATAATTATAATCTTAAAATTATGAAATGAAATTTTAATAATTATAATTTTAATAGTACGAAAGTTATGTAATTGACTTGGAAGTAGTTGATAGTGCATTGCAAATACTTATCCAATATTTGATTTACTTATTTTGTTTGTCTATTAGTTTGATAGTGAAAAGTTGAAGATAATTTGATATCAATCTATAATATGTTGAAGATTATTATTTAAAAGCTTGATATAAATAAGAATTTATAAATTTAATATAATTTTATTTAAAAGTCCATGATAATAATAAATTTTATTTAAAAAAAGTATAGTAGTTTATTTACTAATAGTTTTTTTCAAATTGATATAAAATATTCAATTTTGACAAAAAAATCCACAATTATAAAGATTAAATTATAAAAATTTAGAATTAAAAGTTTTGTACTAAAATCTATTGAAAAAAATGACTTAGATTGCTTTAAAATAAGTAGAAATCAAAGAAATAAATATTTTCAATGATATAAAGCCTTTGCTTTAGAATAAGTAGCATATGATTTTACAAATATATTTTACTATTTTTTATATTTGATACAACTAAAAATATCTTATGATAAGTTTCAATGTTTTATTATATTGAAAGCACTGTCATACTAAAACACAACCAGTAGTTAAAAGAAAAAGATATGGATTATACTATAGTTAATCTTATTTAAAAATATAATAAAAATTTATTTTAGAAATATAGATAAGAAATTAAGAAGGTAGTAAAATAAATTAATAAACTAGTATTACCTTGTAATAAATATGACTTTTGCTTATTTTGTAAGATCATAAATAAGACAAAAGAAAGTAGGTTGACAAAAATAATATTAAAAGAATCCTAAAAAAAAATTAAGTAGTAGCACTTAGCAAAATAATATCTAAAAAAACCTTACATTAATATTCAAAGAGGGTTAGTTTTGAACTAAGATGAAATCAGACTCTATAGTGTAAAACTTTGCACCTATAGCAAATGTAGGATTTTTTTGTTAATCAAAGAATAGATTTTGATATCAAAATTAATAAAGTTTATACATGCATTTTTTAGATGGGTTTGAGTACATGATAATTGTGTGAAAGTATGGGTGGATTTTTCTCCCCTCACTTAAATTTGAATAAATTAGATCACAACTTACATCAGAACCCAATACTAATTAATGTGGAGAAGCAAATCATCTATAAAATAGGAAAACAAAAATGAGGTAATAATCAAGATTAATCCAACAACACAACAAGTTAGTTACACTTTTTTATGATTAAATTTTTAGCATTTGTAGTTCATTTAGTTAAGTGCCTTCCAAGACTTATTCTACCAAACTTAAACTCTGAAAATTATGAATTAGAATAAAATAAAATAAAATAAAAACAATGAATATCATGCTAGAGTGCTAGTTTAAGGCTTTCCAAGGTAGTATTAATCATGTAAATCGGAGTTCTATATATGAAGTTATCTACGGATGAAGTTTTTATGACAAAACTTCATTTAGAATTAGAAATTCAGTAATAAACAGCCTTAAATATTTAAGTTCAGCACTAACATGATGTTAAGATTTTTTTAAGATAAAAGATGAAAGTTGGAAGATTAAAAAATTAAAATAAATAAAATAAAATAAAATAAATAAATTAAAATTTAAGTTAGAATTAATAATTAAAATTTAAGTGAAAGTTTAAAAGTAACAAAAATAAAATTTAAAGGTTAAAAATAAAAGTTTAAAGTTAAAGGTTAAAAGTTAAAGTTAAATGGTTAAGGTTAAAAGAAATAGGAAAAAAACTAAAAGACCAGATTAATTTTTATTTATTTATTTATTTTATCTTTAAGGGTAAAAATAGATGGAAAGATAAGAATTTAAGATTAATTTTCAAATGAGTTAAAGTCCTTTGAAATCATTAAATAATATTAATTGATGGTAATAAGACGAATGAGTGATAATATAGCAATTTAGATACTAAGGAATGTGATTAGAGGGTGATTAGAGAAGAAAAAACTTACTTAGAGTATGTCAAGTTGAAGGCAGCAGATCCCTTGTCATTCAAAAATTTGCTTGCAATTCTTGAAATTTTTTGTGGTTGAGGTTGACGTAGAGCTGGTCCTATCGACCAAATTTTATGGTGATCCAAGGTTCGACATTCAAGATGTGTGTTTTCAAAGCAAGGCGACTTGAGCTGCCTAGGCAGCAGACCCCCTTCTACTTAAAAATTCACTAAAAATCAGTTAATGGTTTAAAATTGTTAAGAGTAAATTTTCCTAAAACCACACTTAGTAGAGTTCCTTTTCCACCAAATTTCAGCGAGAAAATGTAAGTGAGTACTAAGATACAATTTTTCAAAGCTAGTTGTTCAACATTACCAAGGCAACAGATTCCTTTGCATTTAAAAATTTATTAAAAATTTGATATAGAACAGATATTAATGATTTAAATTTTTTAGTAAACTAAGCTTTAAAGTGCATTTATTTCAATAATCCACATCAAAGTTGAGTTAGAGGTCACTGAGTTATAGATATTTTAAGCCGATGCTCCTAGACTGCCAAGGCATTAGACCCCTGCCATCTTGAAAACTCGCCAAAAATTCGTCACAATTTCAAATCAGATATCCCTTATGCCGTTACAAAGCTAAAGGTGATTAAATTCTGCCTACAAAGTTTCACAAAAAGAAAATAAAAAGAAATATACTAAGTGAGTTAAAAAAGAGGCCATATAAGTTTAAAGACGAAGATTTGTATTCACAAGATGAGGGAACATTTTGCCATGGCTTCGCCGCAAGAAGATGGAGAGAGAGAAAGAGAGAGGGAGCTTAGTCACCCAAGCCTTCTTAACCGGATGGATGGAGGCTCAAAAGTGGCAGACACATCTCCACCATCAAAATCGGAAAACCCCTAATCAAGATCAAAGGTCTTCAATAACTCTCAGTCCAAAT